AAAAAAAAAAAACTTTTAAAAAAGGATTCTGTTTAGTTTATATAAAGAGGTATTTTTCCGGATACAATACTTTGTAAATATATCCAACAATAAGGTTTATGTATTGATATGATTCCAATGACTCTTTTGGGATCAAGTAAGATAGAGCATAAATTAAAAGACTTTATACACATAGACACATAAACAGCTAATAATTGGATTTCCATTAAACTAAGACTTATCTAATAGAGTTGAAAAATGTGTTTCTAGCTATCAGTACCATTTCATTGTGTGAAAATAATAGGCTGAAGTGGGAGTTGTTCTAATACGGTATCAACCTGACCTTGCTGTATCTGTGCCAGGGCTAATCAAGACCACCTCTGCTGAAGCTAACAGCAAAACACCCGTTCTATCTGATCCTCATCAAAGCGCAGAGCAAACACTTTCACTCCGCAAGACAAACATGATCGACAACATGATACCAACCGAGCTTAACTGGATGTTCTAAGAAGGAAATAGGAAATCACACTTCTCTGATACAGCAGATGGAACACACTGAGTTGTACCTGTTGTGTGAATAAATTTCAGTGTGCCTCAAATCTGCAAAAGCCCATAAAGAATAGGATAACAGAAAGGATTACAATGAGATATATGTATGATAGCTGGCTCTGGAGGAGTAGTTTTAACAGTGATTGGGATCTGTGAAAATTCATTGACCTTCAGAGCAACAAAGAGTCTTTGGTGTAGCACTGAGATAAACAGGGTTTGTTTGTTGTCGCATGACAAAAATGAAAATCTGTAGCTTCCCTTTAAACACATTTTGACAGTTTGGGTACCAAAGGAAATACATTCAACAAACAACTTAAATTGAATGCCTACTTTAATAGCAATCTTCTTAATTATGACTAGGTATGTTGTGCTAATAACACAGATGCTAATTATAAAAATATTTTTCTCGTGTGTGGTTACTGCTCTCATGTAGGGGCACTGCTGCTTGATTCAACATGACTTGGACAGCTGTCAGAACAAATAAACATGCACTGATAAAAAGGCCACAAAGGCAACAGAACTGGATCACTGGTGCATGTCTTTTTATATGAGGAGATAATTGCTGCTTCTTTTGAGCAGGTGAGATTGCAATAAACACAAAACTGGGAAATAAAGAAGTTCGGACAACTAAAAGCAGAGTGGTTATAATCACAAAATGAAAACCCAAGCCACTATCGATGTCTATATATTACTGTAAGTAAGCACATGCCTTCAGCTACTCTGTATTTTTGGCTTCAAATGTTGAAAAAAGACAGTTTATTGACTAAATAAATCTTTATTTTCACCACATAATAAAAAAAACACTGTATTTATTATTCTGGATAATAACTCTTTTTTTCAACACAGCTGATAGATAGGCTGGAAGGATGGGTGGGGTTGTACTGTGCATGATGGTTAAAACCTTTATTGGCTGATTTACTTGGACCAATTTACATGTGGCAAATAGAAAGCTGATTGAAAGGAAATCTAAATTAGAGATCCCTCAATGCTTCATTACAGGACCACTTTTTACTCAAAAATGTATCATAATGTACAATTTTATATCTAACCATCCTGAACAGTGCTTTCAAAAATAATTCAGTATCCTTTAAATCTTATCCCAGTTTGACACTGCTAAATCAAGTAATGATTCAGCAGATTTGATACGAATCTGAGGAGTTAAATCCAAGTATTCATATCAGCTATAAGGGAAGAACAGATATTAAGCATAGTGGGGACCACCCATAGAGGACAAGTTCAGACCCTTGAGGATATTTAGGGACCTATTTACTGTATGTTCCCAGGATCAGAATTAAACATTTACTGTTTTTGCTCTGAAACCAACTCCCTTAAAGCCTGAAATGTGCTAAAAATGTTTGCTACTAGCTTAACAATATGACTGCTTATGTTGCTTTCCCATTAAGGTATAAGATTATTGTTTTATAAGCAATTGTTTGTATCATCTAAATCACTTATGGGCTTCAAATAGGCACAAACAAAGCATAAAGTTTGTCTTATTTACTGCCTTTATTTTCACTATGTTGTTTTTATCTATTCCTAGCCCTAAAAGTAATTGCCAATCTCTTTAATTCTTTATTTTTCTGTAAAGCACTAAGAAATATCTGAATATAAATGCTACATTGAAAACATTTCCCTTGATTTATAGTCTTAAATATGCATTTGAGATAAAAAAAAAAAGGTATGACTGTGCAAATATACAGTAATTTGTCCTGTGTTTTTTTGTGTTACTCTCTGATTTACTGATGATTTGTCCAATCTGTGCTGCCGCTTACCCATTAACTATAAGCACCAGCATCCCTCTCCCACCTACATGACACTGCAATATTTTAGGTTATAAATGATGCTAGGATGGATCATGGATTTTATCTTCATAATGTTATTTTTAGATGTTGAACATGTCACCATTATTATTTTTGTTACAATAACAACCTTTTTCCTATAAAGATGGATCTCCAGGCAGCAGACATGTCTTTTAATAGAGCAGTGGATGTGGTCAGTCAGATACTGATGCTGAAGATAAGGCCATTTCTCAATCCACAGCAGGTTAATAGCAAAACAGAGTTTAGGTTACGTTTTCAAAAAGAAATTGGCCTGCACAGAAAAGCTTGGTTGTGTGTGGGGCAGCAAAGTCAAGCTGAAACATTAGAGGGTTTTTCCAAAGCTGCAGCTGCAAAGGCTACAGCCTAATAACACAGACTGTGTAGGAAACGTCCACAGGAAAAGCACATAAAGCTATGAAGAGGGTAATCTGTTTTATTGTGTTTTTGTTCTGTTAAGTAACCTAACGCTGTTCTTAATTGAAAAAAATCATATTCATTCTGAGGTTTTTGTCTTACTTACCAGAGGCAGATGTAAGAGGATCACACCCTTTTTCAGCCCTTTGTAAATTTTCATAGTTCAGCACATTAGTAATTTGGTTCACATCTGAAGGGTAGCAGAAACTGCGCGGGATCATCTCCATGAGACAAGCCCCACTAAGAAATGCGTCTGCAAAAGAAATGAAAATGTGCAATCTTCAATAATTTATACAAAAAATGTAGGGGTATATTTTTGACAAAACAGGCCAAACTACATCATTGTGACATATTATTCATGTCACAGAGATAAAAAAAATTGTGGTGTCGAGTGAAAATGAACTGGCCAGCCATTTCCTTGCACCTGTTCTGTTGTGCATCTCCACTAAAATCTACCAATTTGCTTTTAGCAAACCATCACAAAAAACAGAAAACACACAGGATAAGGCAGTTAAGCCGTACCTGTTTAACAACCAACCAGACACACAAACGACTTAAGGGCAAGCTGATAAAGCTTAATAACTTGTAGCCAATACCAAAATTCAGATGCATCACCTGACATGACTTTGGGGTCCGTTTTCATGGTGAAGATCCTCCTAACTTTGCAGGTAGCAAACAACGTGATGCCATCCAGAGTCAAAAATCCCTTGAAAAGTTCACCGGCGATTGATACAAGGTCGATGCACACCGTGGACCACTGAGACAACAGGTACAACATAATTTCAAGCTTTTAGTGATTCAGTTCAGCTCTTACATTTAAACATGAAAAAGGATAAAAAGTACATAGCCAAAAGTGCATTTAAAAATTCATGATGAATGCATAAAGCATGAATAACATACTCACAGTATTGCGCTTCAGCTCTGTGAAAGGTATCTTTGCGTGCAAAAGTGTGGCAGATATCTCTTTATGCACTGTTGAAAAGTAAATTCTTCTTTTTAGATGCTCTAAATCTGTTATCCTGTTTATAACAGATAAAACAAAAGTACATGAATTATCACCTGCTGCAACCGTGTTGCTTGGAGATCCTGATTATATAAAATGCAAAACGTTATTGTTTTCTGATAGAGAACCTTAAAAATGTTTTCACTTTAAATATAAGATTGCATCAGCTGTCTAGGTTGATTTAAATCTAAAGGTACATCTCAGTGAATACAGATATACTGAAAAATTAGAATTAAATTTAGAGATTCATTACACACAGTGATCTAAATTAGACATGAATTTCTGTTGGTTTTGAAGATAATAGTTTACTTTTAATAACAACCCGACATTATTTTTCTCCAAATAATTGGATTGTACATATAAGCAGTAAAGAATATTAAAGGCAACACAATCATGGGGAAGAGTCTGGACATGCTGTCAATTGTGGTACAGTGGACAGTCTTTGACAGATTTATTGTGAAGAGTAAGAAGCAAAAAGTCATTGCTATCCAGCTACTGTATATCAGCAGGACTTTTAGTGGGGGGGAAAAAAATGGTGTGTTGGTAAAAGATAAGACAAGGCTGGTTTATTTGCATAGCACATTTTAGAAAGAACACAATTCAAAGTGATTAACCTGATAAAAGCATGGATACATTGTGGTGGTATGATACAAGGATTAAATACAAGTTATACTACAGAAATTGTTTGGTTATTTATGCACAAACACACACCGCTTTGTTTTCATGACATATGGGGACATTTCGCTGACTAGCATTCATTGTATTTGTCCTAACCCAGACCCTTACACTAACCCTCACTATTACCAACCCAACACATATCTAACCCTAAACTAAACTGAATTAAAACCTACCCCCAAATCTAAGAACAGAACCTTCCTATATGAGGACCAGTTCAATGTCCCCATATGTACCTGTAAGTCCCCGCATGCAGGATATTGGATAAAGATGAGGTTTCAAAGATTCCGTCACATTAGTTTGTAGCTGTAATAACATAATAGCTATTTGCTAACTTGATCACCCCTACATCGATCCAAACTAAAGAAATTGATCTAGGCTTTGATTTGTTATATGGATCTATTAAACACTTTGAATTGCCTTAGTTACCTTGTAACATCAAAATATTGAACATCAGATCTGCTTGGTCATGTTAACTTTTATTTTAACTGATAAGGGGGGGGGGATGTAAATACTGTGTTGAGCAAGGAAACCTGACAACAAAGCTGCTGCCTATTTTTTTTTACAAGGCATTTACCTGTTAAGCTCCACTTTTTTCATGGCCTTACTGATATATATAATATCTTATGTGCAAATGCTTTTAAATTTTGAGTAGAAACGCATCCAGATTTTTTTTTTCACAGTGATCTGCTGCTTTTAAGACCTAAGGAAAAAAAAAAACACCTGTCTAAAGGGATGAAATTAAAAAATAATCAAATACACTACACAAACAACTGGGACAACAACAGACTTGAGAGCATTGTGAAGCAAAGAATTTGGCAGAAATTTACAAGGCATGGACTACAGCCAGAATTGACTTCAAAAGATCCAGCATATCGGCTACAACTGTTGCGATTCTTGTCTAAAGACACCGCCTAAACAGAGACAACATCAGAAGCATTTTACCTAAGCCGAGAATAAGAAGGACTGCACTGTTCCTTAAGGATGCATACTCTTTTTTATCTGAGAAAGGTAGATTAAGATCTGAGAGACTTGAGCAGTAATAAGAGGCCAAAAAATAAATTTAGTCAAGGTACAGTGCAAAGTTTCACATTTAGTTTTTTTGGAAAATAAATAATATATACCTAGATAGACGGACTGATGGATGGATGGATGGATGGATGGATGGATGGATGGATGGATGGATGGATGGATG